CAGCGGGAAAGAGCCTGACTCCCCCACTGGCCAGAAGCCGCCACCGCAGTCTCAAGGCGGCTGGCTGAGGCCCAGGGGCCTGCGCATTCCTCCCCCAGAGGTGTCCTGGACCCTCGGAGGCCACAGCGGTGCCCCAGCCCCACCCGGGGACAGTCCTCTCCCCACTGCCCACCCACTGAGACTGCTGCTTTTGACTCTCAGAGGACGGGAGCCCGTGGGAATTCAGGCAGACCCCGACCCGGAGCCCGCACAGGCCAGCGTGCAGCTCACACACGGCCGGGTGGAATGCAAAGACACATTTACCCCTTTGGCTGGGAGCATTTCAAAGGCCCAGGGGACCGGACCGGGAGGGAGGGGCGAGCATGGAGAAGGGGCCAGTGAACCCGTAGGGCTTTGCTTTGCATCAAGCAGATCAGCCACTCCGTCAGGGCAAGACTGGAGAATGCTTCCAGCCCAGAGCCGGGTTTCGGCTCAAAAGAATTTAGAAACAAGTGTAGCCAACGCTGACGTTTTTTAAAGGGAAAATTGCAACGTGATGTTTGTGAAAACTCTGGATTTTGATTTGGCGCCAAACGGGAGGGCGTGGTCTTCCAGGTTCCGCTGAGGGTTCAGCGGGGCGGAGCCCCTGCCCGATGGCAGCCTGGCTCCCGGCCTCGGTTCACCAGTGTGGAGCAGGCCCCTTCGTCCCTGGGATCTGCTGTCCCCCTTCCCACGGCCCCTGGGCCCCGCCACCCCATCCTGTCCAGAGCAGCATGGGGAACAGCCTCCTCCCCCCGCACCCCCTCCAGGGCCACGCCCTCCCCGTAGCACAGGTCTCGCGGTGGCACTAAGCAGCCCCCTCAGAGGGGACACCCTGCCTGAACGGGGCCGGCCCCAGCTCACCCCTACATTTCATCTGAATGAAGTCCAGCTGGTGGATGGCCAGCAGCAGCGGCTCGCTGTCCAGCGTCAGGTCAAACTCCGCGGACACTTTCGGCTCCAGAGCGCCCTTGACCCACTGCTCCTGAGACACCTGGACACGCTTGATCAGAGCGTCCGAGATCTACAAGGGGGCACAGAGTTCAGGCTGTCGGTTTGCACAGGAGACATCGCCAGGCAAGTGCTGAGCGAGGCCGGGGCTGCTTCGTCTCTGGCTCTGGCGTGTTCCAGGCGTGGCAGAGAGGAAATGGCCGTCCGGTGTGACACGGGGCCAAGGCGGACGCACCGCGTGGTTCATATCACGCTGTAAAACGAGGCGCCAGCCACGCGAAGAAACCCTCTTGTGAAACGTGATACTTTTGAAATACGCAGAGCATTCCTCAGTGTACCTCTTTTGCTAAAGCGAGTACCCTGCAAAGCGAGGGGTGCTGGCGGTTTGCCGCGGAGTCTGCCTGCGCGTCCCACGCCCCCAGAACTGGGGGGCTCGCTCCAGCTTGCTCTACGGCTTCTGCTCCAAACTCACCGCATGTCACCCACAGCTCCGCTCTCCTGTGCAGGAAGGTCCTGCCCGCTCAGACATTCGCCCGTGTCCCTGTGCAGCCGTGACCCCGCGTGCCCTTCTTGGGGACCAAGCAGGTGGTTCTATCACTTCCCCACAGACGGAGGGCTGAGCTCCCGCCCGAACCATGGCCACGCTTCCAATGCCATGCTCCCGAGAGACGCCCAGACCGCGGTCAGCCTCGCTGCTGGGACGCCCCGCAGGGCTGCGCTGGGCTGCTGGCCACGGTCACCTGGAAGACATGCGGGCT